TGTGTGTGTGTGTGTGTGTGTGTGTGTGTGTGTGTGTGTGTGTGTGTTGGTATGTGTATGTTCCTGAGAACAAGTCTCGTTAGATGTTCACACAGTAGGATCCCATTATCTGTACTTTTTTACAATAATGGGGGCTGGAACTGAGTACCAGGGAGTACCACAACAACCGTCTCTTCGTATTAACTCCACAGTGATCCACTCAGTGGTGGTGTCCAGGCACCCTAAGCTCCCTAAGCCCTAAATTGAATAGAGGAGTATCATAACCATATTCTAAAAAATGTATAAATTAGCACCACATAATTTCCCCTCACTCTAATTAAGAAGTATTTAAGGTGACATATCTGGTTAGTTGAGATGAGAAAACGGGCCATCATAATAAAATGTGTTCGTGCTTATGTGGGATGAATTTGGAATCTTCCTAAGCATACATTCCAGTTGCAAAAAGTCCCATGATAGTGGTCAATGATTATTTTTGTGGCCATAAGGTTGGCCATAAGTAGACGGGTCACAGTGGTCTTTACGTGGCTGACTTTGGGTAGGGAGATGCCTGGGTAACTGGTAGTTTAGATTAGATGTGCTTCCCTCCTGATATCTGAAATTGGAGACACTGAGTCCGACCCTATTAGATACCTCCCCAATGACGTGTTTGCAGGACTGCCTGTTGAACAAATTAGCTGGAAAGACCACATTTGTGTTGAAATGAACCATATATAAGGACAACTTGGGCTTTCATTCCTTTATCCATCAATAGAAGGATTGATCTGAAGTTTTCCTCGTCATGAATAACATTTTTTTTATCACAACATACATCCCAGAATCAATTAAACACTATTGTCATTGCACAGCATAGAGCATGTAAAGAGGAAAGTTTCCTTTTGACCGTTTCTGGCTGACCTTTCACTGAAGATAACATTCAAGAAATTGAACTGTGAGGATTGAAGCAACACATCTTGTTTCTGTGCTCAGATTGGCCTGTTAAGTGGCATCTGTCTGATTGTGGGGACGATGATTGGCTCGGGCATCTTCATCTCTCCTAAGGCTGTGCTGCTGTACTCTGGAGCTGTGGGACCCTGCCTTCTCATCTGGGCTGCTTGTGGCGTGTTAGCCACACTGGGTGAGAGCGGCATCCAAACCAATATCACTTTACAGTAATCGGCATAAAATACGTCTGTCTCTCTACTTTGATTTCTGCCTTTGTATGGAACCTGGCTCAGAGATTCACAGAGCAATTTACGTAATACTTTACACAGAACACATGCAAACAAAAGGCCTTATGATGACATACACATTTATTTTTGTAATCTTTGAGGTCAGTGCTGTAAGCTCTTGTCTTGTTGTCTCATGGGATATTTAACTTGAGTAATTGCTAACAAACTGAAAAGATCTGTGTAATCAAACATTATGATCTGCTGTTTGTCTGTAATCGACTTTGAACCTTTATGAAATTAAAACATGTTATTATTTCACCATAGTTTTTATTTCACTGGTCTTGGCACTCTGACTTGACCACTCCTCCTTAGACCAAAATAACATCCCAGTGAAAACACGGGATCTGATATCATCTACAAAATTGGCTCATTTACAGTATTTTGTTTCTAAAATCGATCATTATATTTCCTTTTAATTTGTTTCCTTACTAACTAACAGCTACATGTGAAATCGGTTGTAGTGTATTTCACATAAATTATTGTATTTTGTAACCTTTAGTGTTATAATCCACTCTTTCATTTGGGTTGCATTATGATTCCTGGGGATGAAGTTATTACCACAGATTTGGCTTTTAGGGTGGACGGAGAGTTTGCTTTAACCAAATGTTTCTTGGTTGGAGAAAGTTTAGAATTTTTCTTAAATCTTCTACCAGAAGCAATTATAAAAGTCCCTTATGAGTTTGTGTTACATCTCTCCTCTTCTCTCTGTCTCTGTTTTTTTATGTGTATTTGTGTGTGCGGCTACACAGGAGCACTGTGCTATGCTGAACTTGGCACCATGATCACCAAATCGGGGGGAGAGTATTCGTATCTAACGGAGGCTTTTGGCCCCCTCCTGGCCTACCTTTACTCCTGGACCACTATTATGGTGCTGAAGCCCTCCTCCTTCGCCATCATCACTCTGAGCTTTGCAGAATATGCCTCCACTCCTTTCTACCCTGGCTGTACTCCTCCTCTTGTTGTTACCAAGTGTCTGTCAGCAGCAGCTATAAGTAAGGCTCACTTTAATCAAGTAAATTAAAAGCAGTGTATTACACACAACTTATTGATCACATATTTAAAGCTTTTGTAATGGATGTTGAACAGTGGATTAAATTACTTAATGTAATGTGAAACGAGTCACTCGTAGTGACAAACCCCAAGAAAATGACTGCCTCTGCATTGTTTTGGTGTTACGGCCTGTAACTTAACTGTACTATACACTACATCACCAAACAGCAGACACACAAATTCAGTCTTTAGCTGGAGCATTTAAAGGGCCAGATATTTCCTTTAGGAGTTGGTGGAGACCAAAAGAGAGGTAAAAGGAGAGTCCGTTATCTATACTGCCCCCTAGAGGCCACAACATGTCTAATGCAGGTTTAAATGAGTTTCCCTTCCAAAAACATTGACAACTATTTTGAAATGAACTTGCAATTTCCAGAAGTGAAGAAAATGATCTAATATTAAAGTTGAAAGTAAGACAGCTAACCTGGTGAATGATATACTGTATGTTCAGTACAGTTTGCAATCACCTTCTCTGGGGGAAATAAGAGCCAACGTAGTTTACTGATGGCTTAGACGAGCTATGCAATAATAAATCATTCTGCACATTATTTCAACAAAGGACAAAGGAAAGCAATTGCATTTTTATTCAATTATATTTATTTTATAAAATTGTTCATATCTATGTCAATAGGGGAAGGGAAATTTCTGAGTTAATTAAGAAATAATATCTCTTCTCTTATGGATGCAATTTATTTCACTTGTACTGTATTTTCTTAAATTTCTTCTGCTTCTCAGTTGTGATCGTCACCGTCAACTGTTTGAGTGTCAAACTGGCGAGCTACGTGCAGAACTTCTTCACTGTCGCCAAACTTTTCATCATCCTTGTCATAGTTGTAGCTGGCATGGTAATGCTGGCGAGAGGTGGGCCTAATGTTCAAGTGTCTCTAATATACAACTCCTCTTTCAATTTCTTTAGTGAAATGTTAAATGATAACAAATAATATGTATATCTGTATTGTTGTATATTTGTGTCCAGGAAACACTGAGAATCTGTCGAATGCATTTGATGGCACGTCACCGTCGATTGGAGCAATCGGACTTGCGTTTTATAATGGGCTTTGGGCTTACGATGGATGGTAACAGTTATACTTCACTTCACTTTGCCCTTCAACATGATGTATGGGGTTGGCCACGCTCCTATCTAAAGCAGTGCATTGAAGTGTACTTTCTCAACCGATACGATGAGCCTTTTCCCGCTATGCTGGCTCTATATTAGTAGCACTGCTGACCCTTCTCAACCTTTCAGCTCCTCTCGAGCCTCGTGCCCTTTCTCCAAATGTGTGAATTCAATCCTTGGGCAACCTTATTATTATAGGAATAGGACATGTTCCACATAGTGCAGTTACAACAGTTAGCCATGTTAGGCATTGTCATCAACTAACAAAAATCTCTCCAACATGGTCATATGTATGCTATATCCACATGGCGATGAGATACCATGTTACTGGGTTGCAGAAACATGGCAGTGCAGTGGGGCCCCTTGACTGGCAGCAACTTCCCCAGCTGTTCCCTCAGGTCTTGTGCATATCAGATGCATGCAGGGATGGTATATGCGCACCATTACTTAAAACACCATTCCTCAAGTCAGCCAGCGGTCATGGTCTTCCCACCTTTGATTGTACTTAAAGGATGCATTGGTTGAACAGTTCTAATAGTTTCTGTCTTTGACAGTAAAAGAGGCCTGTGTTGGTTTAGAGAGGTGTTAGTACATTATAGAACATTTTGGTTAGATTCTCTTCTTCGTGACTTGGTCAATCTCCTATGCCTGTGTGTACACTTTAACCCTGGAGTTGCACAATGCTTGTTTCTCCTGCTGTGACCACCTGGGAGATTTTAGCTTCCTCTTGGCGCTGGAGTGTGTGACAGAGCATTATAACCCGAGTGAGGTTCCTTTGTAATGTGTAAGGTCCATTTGGGACACCTGTATTCTCCAATTCAGTCACTTTTTCTGAGGGAACCTGGAAAAGTTGGCCTCATGTGACCAATGCATTTTCATGCTGTCATGTTGGGATCACAGCAGGGGTGAAGGCTGTACCCCTTTGTACCAATAAGGCCAATTAGAGGGCAAAGCCTGTGTGAAATACTGTGTAGAATACCAAAATACCATGTCACTGACATTAGGGGTGGCAGTGAACCCTTACTTAGCACTGCAGGTAAAAACTAGGCCTGTCTGGTTGGCTGAGCATGTCCATGCACATTTTAGTGTGGTGCTTTGCAGAGGAGAGTGATCAAAGTTTTAAGATTCTTTCGAAGACAAATGCCTGTGATTAAAGAACTACAGTTGTTTAAATTCTTATTGTATGGCATTATGCTACCTTTAAAGTTAAGTTGTTTCTTGTTTTCTTAGGAATCAACTGAATTTCATTACAGAAGAGTTGAAAAACCCATCCAGGTGAGACAAACTACAACTCGTTTTTAAGAGATACTTATACTACTCAGTAGTTTTTAAGAGGTACCTACAAGTGAAATCTGAACAGTTCTTTTTATTGCAATATGTAAAGTGTCACTACAAAAAGTCAAAGCAGCATGTCTGACAAGGTAGGCTGCGCCCCCTCATTTCAGGAACTTGCCACTGGCCATCCTCATCGGGATCCCTTTGGTATCTGTCAGCTACGTGTTGGTCAACGTCGCTTACTTCACTGTTATGACCGCCACTGAAGTGCTGTTGTCTCCAGCTGTTGCCCTGGTAAGAAGCATAGAAGGTTGCCATGGTTTGAGAATGAGTCAGTAATGACTTGTCAGTGTGGTGTTAAATTAAAACTGCCTCCGGTAGCCATGTTATTTCTTCACATATTTTTACAGTATGTGTACATTTTGTTTATTCAATATAATTTCAGATCACACCTCTGTAACAGCTCTGTATTCATTTACTGAAGGATTTGTTTGTGCCTCCTTAGACGTTTGGAGACATAGTCCTTTACCCGCTGTCTTGGATTGTCCCACTCTTTGTTGTGTTCTCTACATTTGGCTCTGCCAACGGAAGCTGCTTCACCGCTGGCAGGTAAAAGAGACAACTGTCACATTATTTGTGAAATACAGAAGTAAAATACATTTTCCTCTGTCTGCATGTGTAACATGTGGTGTGCATATATGTTTGAGAAAGATAGTAAACAGGTTTTAAAAGTGGAAAAAGAGAATACTGATGTGCGCTAGAAGAAATAGAAATCGGAAAAAAAACTCAAGAAAGTACAGTTCAACAAGAACTTAACAGCACAAAAAATATTTCTCTCTTCTCACAGACTGGCCTATGTATCTGGCAGAGAGGGTCACATGATTAAAATCTTATCCTATATTAGCCTGAAGCGCTACACTCCAGCCCCTGCTCTAATATTCAATGTGAGTCCTTTTTTATTAATGTATAAACGTCTGCATGGTCGTTCACCTTATGTTGAGTACAGTTTGTTACAATTCAAAGCTCGTCAAATTTTTTTTTTATTTCAACAGTGCATGATATATATATATATATATATATATATATAAAAAATCAATATTATAATATATCACTCAAATTCAGATAATTGATCTTTCCTTTCCAGTTAACAATACATTTCTCTGTCTGTTTTAGGGTATTTTGTCTATTTTCTACATTATCCCGGCAGACATTAACACCCTCATAAACTACTTCAGCTTTGCTCAATGGATGTTTTACGGTCTGACAGCACTGGCTCTCATAGTCATGCGTTTCACCAGGAAGGAGCTCCATCGACCAGTAAAGGTGAGGCTTGCTGTCTTCTTGGAGGAAGCTCCTCTTTTATAGTGTTGTGACTCAACAGGTTTTTGCGTTCTGGTTAACTTGTTAACTTGGAACTGCAATCTTTATCTTTACACACAAGTCTGGTCTAGATTTTTTCCACATTTCGTAAATTATTATTATTTATTTTTTTATTTTTTTCTTATTGGTTGTTTGAAATACAACCAAGTTGATTTTTGACTCTCAATAGGCTATTGCATTATTAGTTTTCAGTTGCAGAAATAGCGAAAGTGTCCATTTGAAGCTGTATTTTTTTTTGAAGGTGTGTGATTGTGTGATTACTCAAAGGTGCCGATTGTAATACCAGGCCTAATAGTCCTGGTGTCCTGCTACTTAGTCCTGGCTCCCATCATTGATAAGCCAGAACTGGAGTACCTCTACTGTACTATCTTCATCTTTAGTGGACTTCTCCTCTACTACCCTTTCGTCCACCGGAAGGTCAACTGGGCATGCAAACTGATGAGTAAGTTTACTCTGAAATTTTAAGTTATTGAAATATGTGTATTTGTTCTTGACCATCAGTACAGAATAAAATTGGAAATAGTGTGCTTAAAAGGTAGAAAAGTAACGAATTGAATAGAGCGTTGTATTGTGCTGATGTCATGGAGACGTCATGATCTCCATTCCCCTGTAGGGCCCATCACCATGCATCTCCAGCTGCTGATGGAAGTAGTTCCTCCTGAGAAAACCGAATGAGAGGGGACTGAACCGACAACCAGGTCAGACCAGAGCTCAAAATCAGAGCTCTCCTCTGTTGAATAGCTGCATGTCAAAAGTAAAAGGGGATGCACAGTGTTCAAAAACCTATGTACAAGTGTGAGATGAAATCATTTGTCATGTGGGTTTAGGGACAAAAAAGAGGATTCACATTATAGTGCCCTATAGGAATACCTCTGCTGTTTTTAGAATTCACTTGGATATGCTAAGGCTCTGAGGAGTCTGAGGGTTTGACCATGACCTCATGATGTCTTTCTCCACATGAAGAAATAAATCATTGACAAACACACAACTTTACTGTGAACATAACCAGCACTTAAAGGAATCATTAAGCAAATATGTTAAACATTTCTTCATAATGTGCAATAAAGTTTTTACTGGGCCAAAGATCATATGATGTATAGCTGCTAGGATTTAGGCATGACTCAGCACTTGAGCAAAGGGAAGGGGGAAACATCTTAAATGCATTGCAAAGACAACATGGAGGCTCAGCAGATCAAATGTGGAAACATTTATTTATGTTGCTCCTGTGGTTGTAAACTGAAACATCAGAGTTTCTTTCAGGATGTTTGTGCATTATTTAATAATGCTTTCACACTGGAATATACTGAAAGAAATGCTGCACTGTGTAAGCTATGGTGGTTATTAAATGTATCAATTTTGTCGAGCATAAAGTGGACATTGGAAAAAATATCCCTCCTGTGTTTTCCTGACCTGACTGCTGATTTAGCTAAATATCCTTTGCAAAAACTGACATTGTTTCTATTGTAGGGCGGAAGCTCACTAGCAATACAGTCACGCGTGGCTAGTGCTGTGTGATTATGAAGTATTATAGGATATATATGTTTTTGACTAGCCACCACAAACAGTCTCTCCAAAGATGTGTTGGACTCTACTTCTAATAATCTAAACATTATAAACTTCACCAAGTGCAAATGCAAATAACTCTTGTGGTCTACTCATATGAATTTGCGGATTTGTGGGCTATGTGTGATACTTGATGCAGGGAACTTTCAGATCTTTACTCATGTTTCTGGCCACAGTTATGATTAGGAGCTACAACAAGATTGATTTGACTGTACCAAGGTCCCCATTGTCCACCAGATGTCAGTACAGCATTGTTAAACAGAACTGTAAAATGATGCTGTTGATAATGTGCTTTCATTGTCATATTTAAACAGTAGTAATAGTACTGTATTTTGCAGTAATATATGGATATTTAATATTTCCAATAATGTGAAAAAATCACTTCATAGTTATTATGATTAGTGGTAGTGGAAGCTGTAATAGTATTCAACGGGTGAAGATGGGGAGCAGACGTTTTCCTGGTTGTTGTCATAATACATACATCCTATACCTTGGATGGCAGATTGAGGAGATCTAAGTAAAGGTAATATGTCTTTGGCTAGTACACATTATAGGTCAACACTGTGTAGTTTCATAAAGAATACAGGCCTTTGCAGAAACTGCATTTGGTCTTTGTTGCCCTCTAGTGGCACACAGTCTCTCCATACATAGAGTAAACCAGGATTTCTTATTTGCAATCCCGGGGTTTGAAAGTGAAGCATTTCTAGAGTAGGTGACACTCAATCTGCATTGGCTGTGCTGAAGGAATCTGGTTGGAAGTGTTTAGAGAAGCAGCGTGCTGGTTATGTGGCCTGTTGCGTTGTTCATGGTGCTTTTGTCAAAGAATGCAGTTGTCCTGCAGAATGAAATCAACAGGTTCCACATGAAGACTGAGTATGTGTTAAGAAGATTGCTGGACTCTGTTGGCAATGGGCAGCTCAAAGACGGAGTTGTGATTCAGTGCACATACAGTGGCTGTAACATAAATACCCTGGCTTAATCATGTCTCCTCCTCCTATATTTTGGGGCTTTTTGAAATGTTGCACTGAGCAGAGACGAGCAGTTACACTGTGTTTCATCACTCTTTAATGGGCATTGGGTCCCAAGATGAAAGAAAAAATATTTTTCATTTGGGTCCTGGGAAGAAAAAAAGTAAAATCACTCTGAATTTACAAAAAAACAACTTAAATCTTGTGTGTCTTTGTGGTGTTGGTGCTTTTGAGATGATGCAAGACAATTCTCCATTCAGTGTCAATGAAGCTCAAGGATTTGATGGCATTAATGAAGGATACCTATTTGTGGTTGTGAAATATAATTATTCATGTTCAGAGATACACACTAAACTCACTTAGATCACAGGGAAGTGGAATTGTGGCTCTGTTGGATATGTGTGAATTGTCATGAATGACTCAGCGTGCTTGACAATATGAGGAATCATTCATCCCACTGCTGATGGTGCGGGGGCCGGGCAGATGAAGCAGATTACTGCTCAGCTCAGTGTCATGAATACAGGCCTGCTACATTGATCAGGTGCATACAAATTGTGTTTCGCTGGTTTGACATTGTCCCCCATCAGACAAAAAGCCCACAAATCTTTCAAAACAGTGTCGCCTTTTCCCAAATGTCGCCACAGACGCCCATTTCTTAACACTGCAAATGCAGGTGCTTTCACCATTGTGTCACCTCATTCGGCGATAGATAGTGACTTCAAAGACATTTTAATATTCTATTATCAATTAAAATACAGCTCTTGAGTAAGCCTATTTAGTTACTTTCCACCGCTGCTATGAATTCACATTCAGAAATGTAGTTTTAATGTTTACATTGCAACAATATCCTAAAAACAATGTATCGACTGATACAAATATATTACCTCTCAATCATCAATGATGGCCCCTTAGAAATGTGTGTCAGTGTTTGTATCTACAGGGGCCCTGCCCTCTGTCTGTATTTTCTCATTTCTTCTTATTTTGCTGTTCGGGACTCTTCTGGATGTCAGCACAAAGCATTTGGACCCCACGTGCAGGTGTAACCCCGACCCAAAAAGCTGGCTGTGCAGCCTGTTCTCATTCCCAGGTCAAACACTGCTGCTTTGTCACACCCCTCGGTGTCCCGACACTCACAGACCTCATAGGCCTGCACGACACAGACAGACAGAGACAGCAGACAGGACACAGCAGGACGACCTCCTCGCAGGTTTGTGAGGAGGTGTGGATGTGTTTATTTGAGCCGGAGAGGAGGGGCGAATTTTTAATGCTGACAGCAACTGACTATGTGACTACATATTATACCTTTAATACGTACCAGCATTTATTTTTTCTGAAAAAGGAGATAATCAAAAACGCTATATACTGTGTCTAAAGCTGACCTGCATTACAACCCATTCTGAACATACAAAACTCTTCAAAGTTTTCCAGTTCTGTATAACTTTCCTAAAAAGAGATGAACTGGTCGTGTAAGCTGATATAATCAAGTTCAGTTGCTTCCTTTCTGTTTATTTCCAGCTATGGCTTGTCTTAATTAAACTTTGCATTAGTGCAGTGGTAGATTGATTGAACATTAATATGCTAAATATTCTGATGAAAGTGAATGTGCACTTGAACACACACACTTTCTGTACATATGCATGCGGCCTTGTGCCTAAGTGGACTCACTTGTGCCTAAGTAAGACACACACACACACACACACACACACACACACACACACACACACACACACACACACACACACACATACAGTACATTCAAATATCTCATTAATGGGTAGACAGCTCTGATGAGGACTCATCTGCATATTATTATCATCACATTACTGCGCTTTTCCAATCAGTTACTGAATTAGCATTTGGAACCCCGCAATCATTCAGTGACCTTTCCAAAAAACTGCATTATAACGTGCCAGTAATGAACATATGCTACAAATGAAGTCTGTGCTTGTTCTGATTGTTTCTGGATTATCAGAAATAATACTTCAAGAATAAGAATTCAATTTGCAAAAGTTTGGGTTTGTAAGTCCCGGGGCTACAGTAGCTCAGGGTTGATCTGACATCCTTCTGATTCTGATATTTGACTTATTCACCGTTTGCTCCATTGAGTATTTTGTTGAATTCATTTAGACTTAATGGTTAGGAGTGCCTGCAAATTCAGAGTTTAACTGTAAATATACTCAGCTCACTGACTTTGTCACCTGTGGGCAGAGCAAATTAAGTCTCACAGTGAGAAATAACATTTCCGCAGAGACCCTAACAAAGGTGGGAAAAAAGAACCAAGTATCACTTAAACATCCAGCAGAGGAGTCTATTTTGTCAACATGACCTGTTTTCCTCCATTGGAGGGCACACTTGAATAAGCAGTGGGAGTGAAGTGAGGCAGAGCCGTTTCATGTACACTGTGATCCTTTTACAGTAGAGACACATTCCCCAGATTTGTTGCTCACCCCCACCTGGCACTGCTCCCAGAAATGTCCTGGCATTGCCTTTAGTGTTAAGAACATTATGAAAAAATGCTCTTCATTTGAATTATTATGTTTCAAATGACTGTTCTCTCACAAATGTTTCATTAATAACTTTGACAGCCTTTCTCTTGCCACTGTGAATGCCTGTTTGTCTTTCTTGTTTTTCCAGCCAGATGGAAAAAAACTGCAGATTTACTTAAAAGGCGATTATGTAAAGTTTGCTGAATTTATTGTCATTTATGGGGTAATGGTTATTGGTCAAATGTAGTATGACGGTACAAGTTGAAAAGAGTCTTAAAATCAACTCAGTAATATCAGTTACACAGCAGTATTCATCTAAAGTTTGCTAACGGTAGCTAACATTAGCAACCATAAGCTATTGGTCAGACCAGACCAAGCCAGGCTGTAGTGTTAAATCGAGCGATCGAGTGTTTTATTACTCATGAATTCAACATTTCATTTGTGAGATGAATGTGTTCTTTTGTGTTGCAAACTCATATAGTCTTGCTTTAATTATCAAGCATTGTCTGGGAGAAGCCACATATTGATTTAATTTATTAATTATTCTATTAATTTATAATTTTGGCACCTTGAGTTGCCTTTTCTCTCTCTCTCTCTCTCTCTCTCTCTCTCTCTCTCTCTCTCTCTCTCTCTCTCTCTCACACACACACAAAACACAGTTGCTCACCAATCTTAAAATGTGGATTTGTTTGTTTGCCCATGTTTCAACCATTTCCAGGTGTGGAAGAGTCACGCCCAAGGCGTTGGATACTGCTGCTGATAAATTGCTAATGACATGATTTGACCTCGCTTTTCTCAGTCTGTCAGCTTACAGGGTTTTACAATAAAAATGACTTCTGCAATGACTCCTACATCAGAGACAATTAATTACAACAGAAACCTGAATATCAGGGTGACTTTTTTGTCTATGCTGCCATCCCATCTCTCTCTCTCTCTTTCTTTCAGTACACATTCTTTCTATCCATCTCTTTCACTGTCTTCATCTCTCCCTGCCTTTCTCTCACTCACAACCGTCTCCCTGCCCGCTCTCACACATTCATCTTCCTCGCTCTCTCTTTCTCCTGCCAGGATTTTCTCTGTATTCCCTTTGATCTTCCTCCTCCTACCCTCTCCTCGCCCTGTTAAGGCTCTTCACTAACTTTAATTGAGCAACTTAGAGATCAGTGCATGCCATCGTGAACAGTCACTCTCAGGTGAAACCTCAGTTCATCTTAGTCTGTGTATGTGTGTGTGTGTATAAAGAATGTGTTTTACAAGTAGAGGTATTTGCAAGTTTGTGTTTATACTTCCCAAATTTGTATACACATACAGTATATGCACGCCTGTGTTAGTGTGTGAAAAAGTCAGGGATCGAGAGAGGAATTTAAATAAATATATTTTAAATAGTGGTGGTTGCTAATTGTGTTGCTGTGCATGCTCCAGTCTTGCACCCGCTGTACTTTCTGGCTGTTTAGCGGCTCTTTGATCAGCAGATAGTGAGATGGTAGGGAGGCTGATTATGCTGGCTCCCCTGCCTGATGCATGGGTGGCTTCACTACACATTCAGCACACAGTGGGAGGCTGGATGGTTTGTGTGTGTGTGTGTGTGTGTGTGTGTGTGTCCTTATGTGTGTGTAAAAGAGTGAAAGCGAGACAGAAAAAGAGAGAAAGAGGTTAATAGACACGAATAGGCAAAGAAAGAAATTGTGTTGTAATAGTAGGTGTACTTCTAAACATTACCTACAGCCACTGCTGCCTCACAGCCAAGTTATGATCTCCTCGTCAAAGATGTTTTTCCTCATCTGTCAATGAGAATTTGTGCAGCTAAAAATGTCACATTGATGAAAAAAGCATGTGCACTTATCATCATTCGATTGAGTTCAGTCAAAACACAGCTTTACATTACGTTGCATTACACTGCATTGCCAAGTGTGTTGCAAAAATGTATCGAGAGGAATTACAAGAGAGACTGAACTTGAATAATGATTTGAGATGGACTGCATCAGCCGTCTTTCACATCAGATTGTTGTTTTTTTACTGCTAGCAGGATTGTTATGTCATTTTGTTATTATTAATCATCCCTACAACTTGACCATCAGTAAATAACACTGTTAGATATATAATTTTAGAAACAATATACAAAGTCCACATATTCAGCCCACTTATTCAAATCAATAATAATGTGTTCACAGTTATCTGACTAAACTAGGTAATCCTGTTTTCTGATATACCCCATCAAAACAAATCTACAAGCTCTGACATGTTGCTTGTCCACCAGTCAATAACACACAGCATGCCTATCTCGGCATGGCATTAATTAAAAGATAAGAAAGACTTTCATATATGGACAAATGTGTTCACATAGATTTCCCATTCAATCCATCTATAGCCTGTTGTAGAGTGCTCGCCTCTCATATTAGCAGCCATGAATCAACTCTCTTTATCGACACATGGAGTAATGCAAGTGTAGCTGGGTAATCAGGATGCAGAGTGCAGGCTGCGATCTGTTCCTCTACCCATAAATAAAGATATTATATTGGTTACACTGGGGCTAGATGGAGCTGGATAGAGATTAGACCATACTAGGTTACCACAAACTTAAACTTAAAATGTTCTGGAAAACAACTCCACCTCTTGATCTTTAGCATAAACAGGATGATGTAATGTTTCACAGATTTTCAGAACTTGGGAGTTGCCATTGTGACCGAAACTCTCTTTAAAGATAGAGCAGTCAAGGAGCAGTGCAGAGCTGTGCAGCTGTCCTTCAGTGTATGGCACAAAGCCTGCAAAATATCCATAACTGTATTCCTCAGTGAATAAAAGAGGGGTAAAGAGACTGCCAGTGTAAACTGTCATGCTGGATCTGAAATGAAATACAGGCTTCCACGTACATTTCAAAGATACCCCACACGGCAAGGGATACTCAACATGTGATTACACTACTCCTGGTATCTTCAGTGAGCTGAATTTACTAACCCGTGTTTGATCCAGTGTCTAATTAATTCCTTAAGTTCTTGTGTTTATAGCAGGAGAGGGGAGAGAGGGTATACGGTATGAGGGGCGGGGGGGATCTGTCTTTGAAGTGGTGTTCTGCAAATCTCTAGAGGAGAACCAGCCCGAGGCTGGACTGTGGGGAGAAAAGCAACAACCGCTTTTCCACTACGGGCCAAAACTGGGGCCAGCCATCGCCATGTTTTCTACACTGAATTACCATTACCTGTTTATTTTAAACAATATTCCATCCGAAATACAAAGTATTAAGGCGGCAATAGGTCAACAGAGAAAAGTTTGCTGAGAGGAAAATAACAACAACGCCTTTACGAGCATTGTTTGGCCCTGCACTGGAATATGGGCTCTTAGCAACACTGAAAAACGAGATTCTGCAATCCTCTGCAGTATACCCCTCCCTGTGCCTAACTAGCTAATGAACTATCAGCTATCTATCTTCATTCCACCCAGGGCCCACTTGTCCTTCCCTGCAGACAGAAGCCAGTCCTTGCCAGGTTTTACTGAGGGGAATCCAAACCTCCTGGCTCTAAAGTAAAGTGTTGCATTCTTCTCAAAGTCATTTTGAGGTGAAAAACAGGATTCATTGATGTTATTTCTGTTGTCACAGACATCACCGTCAATATTTGTGTACATGAAACCCGCTCCCAAGCAGGAAACCATACAGCTGTAATCATCTTTGATGTCAGCAAAATACTGAACCTGGTTTCTTCAGTCATTACCAGTTGCAGACATTTTGTGGAGTAAATGCCTGCAACTGAAAATGAGGGGAAAGTATAGACCAAATTCATATTATTGTGGTGATTTTATTTTATTGCTAACGTCACCATACAGGTTAATACAATTATAGGTCGCAGCAGGTGTAACTAATGACGACCCCATCTGGCCTCAACGACTACCGACCGGTTGCCCTCACATCTCATGTGATGAAGGTGCTGGAGAGGCTGGTCTTGGCCCACCCGCGACCACAGGTGAAATCCTCACTGGACCCTCTGCAATTTGCATACCATGTGGGAGTGGATGACGCCATCATCTACCTGCTGCAACGAGCTCAGTCGCACCTGGATGGAACCGGTGGCTCTGTGAGAATCACTTTCTTTGATTTCTCCAGAGCATTCAACACCATCCAACCAGTGCTGCTGAGTGAGAAGCTGCGGGTGGTGGGGGGTAGACACGTCCATCATCTCCTGGATCACTGACTACCTCACAGGCAGACTGGGCTGTGTGCTGTCTGATACGGTGGTCAGTGATACTGGATGAATAAAGTATATATCTATCTATCTAATAAAAATAATAATGTCTCAGTTCTAATATGTCAGAACATGTAAGCCATGTCAGTGAGGCAAGAATCAAACAAAAGATCTGCATTGTATTAAAAGCTCCCAGCTATTTTAATTGATCCTATACAGAGATCTTCATTAGGCATTGCCAAATCACCATCACAAAGCACCACTGATGGATAGGCCATTTCAACGGAATTGCATTGCTATAGGCAACAGCTGAGGACCATGTTTACTTCCTGTCAGCTGATGCGGATAAAAAAAAAAAAACTAACTCTATTACAATCAAATTCATGTAGAATACTACAGAATACTACAATGTGAGTTTCATGACGTAATGACCCTTCCTTCTTTCACATATTCCTTGCAGTGCGACAGGAAATAAATTGGGACACATTTGGAATGTTTACTTTCGCACCTGTGAAATGGTCTATAGGCACAAAAACATTCATCACCCAGGAGACAAAGACCAAAATCGGGTACTACACTCCATCTACCTGATGATTCAAAATGTGAGAGGCCAAATGGATTTTACATGTTGATGTTTAGCATATGACATTTTGCATGTATAGGCTGTTAGTAGGCCTATATGCCTACAGCTAAGGCTGAGAGAAATTTGATCTTTAGATTTAGATGTAACTTGTCATGAAATTCTGACCTGCTGATTTTGGTGCTAAATTAAATTTCAGGGCTCACCACTAGCTACTTATTGGGATTCATCCTCGAGAGACCATATCACCTCGTGAAAAGACAAATTTCAAGGCCATTCATCCAATAGTTGTTAAATTAATTAACTCTGTTCAATAAAGTGCTGAACAAACAGACTAAAGGACATCCTGAATGACCGGCAGACATTGCCATCCTAAAGCCAACAAGGATAAAAACGGGTTCAGAAATCTTTCAAGTTTTGGTTAATGGTAATTTTAGGTGAAAAGAAAATATCATAAACTACTTGCAATAGTAACAAGAATAATTATATTGATAATAATAATAAAATACCGTGATATTTCCTAAGGCAGTTATTGTACCGGGTTCAGCACACATCACACTTTGCTTTGATGCAGCGAAAAGCCACCATTACACGGTGCAAGCCATAGGAAATAATGGCTTTCAGAGTTGTGCCTGAATGTGTAAGTGAACTATAACACTGTGACAGTCAGACAACATGCACAATACCAGAATACTGAAACCAATGCAGCTAAAAGGAATTTGGTCATTGTGAACTCAAAACTAAAACATTTTGAAAACAAAAAATAAAGTTCAGCCTATTGCACACCTGTTGCTATGTACATTTCATCAACCTACAATGAAGCATACAGTGAAAGAACACGCAAGTATATTGTCACCATGATTCTGCTTTTAGGAAGCAGAAAACATGCTTTTCAAAGCTTCATGTGTTTCAAAGCAACAGACACCAGTACAATGACGGATGTGGCATATCATTACTACTAAAATGTGGGTCCAGTTCAACAACAGTATATATTACTGAGGCAAGTGAAGGAAATATAGACTGAATTAAATCTTTTCCGACATGAAATGTGCCTGAAACAGCAGAGAATACTGTAACATGGTGTTGAGGGCTTTCTAGTTGTAGGAAGATAGTTTTGTACGGATCATACCATGTTAACTCAAGTACCTTTTTAAAATGAAACCTTTAAAATCAATAATTGACCGAGTTCAAGTGGTATTTTATCATGTATATTACTCAACATATTACAACTGTATTGTTTTTTTTTCACTTTCTCTCACATCAGTGTAACATTTGACCGTCTATTTACTGACACCCCTCCCCTCTACGGCAGTGGTTTGCGCCTCACTCCAGCTGATCGGCCCAGGATTCCCCGGTGCCTCTGCCCGTCGTTGGCTTTGCCGGCTCCAGTGATTCAACGCCGATTTAAACTGTTATAATTCTACGGAGTCAGTGGCCGCTCGTGTCGGCAAACCGTTCCTCGTCCAGTGAAACGTTTGAAGGATAATCTGGCCGGGGCATTGACTCTGTACTTGTCACAGCCCAGGGGGATCTGAACACAAATACGAGGCCCTCACTCCAAACCCCGGATTCACCTGCTAACGCGGAGAGCCTCACACGAAAGACCGACATGGGGGACACCGGGAGCGAGGGCAGCAAGCCACCGAGTAACGTTAACGTTGTACCCCCGCGCTGCCCCTGTGGTTTCTGGGGGTAAGACGAAATAACTCTCAAATGTCTTGCGCTTTCTTTCTCTTGACAACAGCTAGCAGAGTCGCTAGCCATTAGCGTTAGCAGCTCAAACAGGGATGAGCTGCTTTTCTTGTTATCCCCCCTCCCCATTGTTTTGTAGCATTAGCTGCTAGCTAACACCAACTGGCCTCGGTAACCTTCTATAGGTAGAGAGCAGGGTACGGGTGAGGGGATAAGCCCTCCAGGTAGTGTGACAGCGGTAAGAAACTAGCTCGTTTTAAAGTTAATAAACGAAGCAGTTACTTAGATATATCACACTGGGCATTTGTTAAACCTTAATATGGACCTGGGTGGAAACTAGCCATTTCATCAGTTCAAATTAGCTGTAAAGCAGGATATGTGCCAATATACTGACTCTTAGTTGCACACATTGACACAGTACGTTTGTTTTAGTTTTCCTAAGGCACGTTAATCATCATGAGAACATTTTATCGTGTCTAGTGTATTGGGACACATGTTAACAAAGTCACATGAGCACAAGATATCCTGAGGTTTTGTGACAATTATTGACGTTCAATGCACATGATTGTGTACGTTTGAGGCCAGTGTTTCTGTTACCAATCAAAGCCATGTTAGTCTGCCAGAATGTGAGGCTAATTGATACATATGCCGGGTCAATTTGCAGTGGTAAACACTATTTATAGTGTAAAAAGTATTACATATAGGATTTATACACACTAGCACTTTAAATTGAGTTATTATTTGGATTAATGGGCTAACCTAAATGTTATCACGAGCTAAATTTGGTACAGAGATCCCACTGTAGATATGGCTTGCTGAACTATGTTTGTAACATTACACATTGGGGGTCCAATGAGAGAATTAAGATAATAAATGTTATTGTCTATAACTGTTATATGCTGTACTGCTGTCTTGGCTCTCATGTAAAGGAGATTATTAATCTCAATGAGGCATTTCCTGGTTAAATACATTCTACATCAAATTAAATAAAAAAAGGAAATTATATTTGTGTTTACCAGGTCAATGAACAAAAGAAATGTTGATAGAATTGTCAAAATGTATTCATGAGCTACAGGAGCTGCCCTAGTGCACTACCTAATTCTCTATTTACACCAGGGCACGGATCTCAATACCAGAGACCGTGTTGATGATGAGCCACCTGATCAGACTTCACCAGGACTCAACATATTTGTGTCTGCACCAAAATCATGGCATCTCTGCGTCTTGTCAAAACGTTCCACGTTTGCTTACAAGCTTTTATACTCTCTGCATTAAACGTCCTTCACATTTACAACAGACTGTTATGACAGGTCACTGTGATATGTACCGTGATTATTTAATGTTCTGTCACTACTGTTCTCACTGTAATATCAGTCCGTCCTGTCACTATTGCAGAGTTCATTCTATATGCAGTAGTTTCCACTGTTTTGATTAAATTGTTAGTTGATGATGTGACTGACATTGGAGATGATGTTCAGACATTATGTGAGAGATGATTTTTTAAAATGTATGTCATTTTTAAACTGAATTAATTGGAAGTGCTGTCAGTTACAGTGTTGCCCGAGTATGAGTTATAAGTTATAAGATGCACCTCCCCCGTTGTCTACTTCTGTGGTAAAAGATAATTAGAGGTGAACTCGGCAGTAGTAAAGTTTATTTGCTCTTTAGCAGCAAAACACGAGTCGATTAAATCAATCTCTAGAACATGTATCATCAACAATTCTTTATACCGATTCATCATTTAAGTTGAAACAACATTTCCTAAAGTTTTCTGGTATCTTTGTGTTTTGGACTGTTGGCATAACACAATTTTATATTTTAATAGAATAATAGGCATGTTTCTAATTTGTCGGACATTTTTATAGACCAGACAATTAATTAATCGGTTAATCAAATACATTATCCGAAGACTAACTGATAATGAAAATGATTGTTGGTTGCTACATAAGAGGATATGAAGGCCAAGCTGAGCCTGCGCTTTTAACACTAAATATAATAGTCCTGTCGTCTCTGTCAACAGTATTTCTAAGTTTATGATCACCTGGGCAAAGTATGAAGACACCAGATCATCCAGTGCAAGTTGTAATGTTTGACTTAACTAAAGGATAAACCTTATCCAAACAGTGTGCTCGGCTCATGGTTAATATCTCCATACAGTTTAACTTCCATTTATCTGGAACATGTTCAAGCCCCGTTCAAGGCGATAATCTACCAGTAATTAATGAGGACCTGAACACGTAAAACATATGTGGTGATATCATCTGACCATTAGTCAGACAGGGAAGTCTCATTACACAATTGACAAGAGCACAATGGATTGTGGGATATTGAGGGTGCACTGAGAAAAGTATGCACTGATGCTGAATTTCTCAGCGGTATTAGGAGAGGCCTTTGATATTAAGCAGTTAAAAAGCAGGCCTTTTAACACTTACATGCGTTGTAGTGAAAAGTGTGTCGGGTCCTTGGATCTTCCATCGGACAGGAGGACTGTTGCATTGTGTCATTTAGCGGGGAGTGGTTGAAATCACCTGTGAGTTGTTCTGTATGCTCCAGACCTAAAGTATGACCACATTTAAAACACAAGTTCCTTCAGGTTGTTTTATGGCATCATCTCTTTTTTTTAACTTTTTGACTTCCTCATGTCTCTTTCTGCCTCGATACTTGTTTGAAGAAGCACATTCAGGGGTACCATGTATGGTTGTGATTGATGCTCTGTGGCTCATAAACCGTAAATACATCCTTATGTTATTTCTCCCCGAGAGCAGAAGGCTTGATGGTCTCAAAGGGAACTTTGACACAGCAGGCAATGGAAGAAGGAAAAAGAAAATGTTACTCACTCCTTTTGTTTACCTTTCTTTACATGGGTATCAGAGGAGTTCTCTGCATCTCCTAATGATGATCTTGTTGCAGAGTTCTTTAGTAAAATTGAAATTAAGATTATAGCATGCCTGATTTGGTGGAGGAAGATTTGTATTCGCAGATAGGATGAACCTGAAATAGATCCGGGATTAGTAATCACAAATGTGTCAGATTTAAGCCTATTTATTTACAGTCTGCTTGGGCAAGTTTCATGTTATCAGTTGTTAGATTCGTTTTGGTTGCAGGTGTGGATTGCTTGTGTTGTTCTCTTGTTAGTTGTGAGCATGTGTCTGTGTAGCTCAACTAGGACTTGTCTCACATGATAGGTTGAACTTAGTCCCGTAGCTCTGTCATGTCCCAATACTCTTTTTTTGTAAAAAGAAAAAAAAAACTTGTCTAAAGACACAGCTTCTGTCTGTTGCTGCTAGGTTACTCTAATACACACAGGGATACATGAGAAAAATTCATTTCTAAAGTCCATACTACTACAGTACCAACCTATTGTAATGATCTTATATTAGCACTAAAGATTTATAACACTGACAACATCTGTTCCTAAGGCGATAGAGAATTGCTGGATTTGTCAAACAATTGCATTAGGAATTAGTTTATTAATCAGCCTTATATTGCTATTAATAACAAAAATGATTTATATTTAAGTGTTGAATACATGCGTTTTTTACATTGAAGTTGCCATTTTCAATCCTTGACAGACGTGTTGAACAAGCTCGTGCTGCCCTTCCAGTTTTTATTGAAGGCAGCAAAGCAAAACTTGTGGATATGTTCCAGGTTACGATGTAGAACCGCAGTGTATAATCTCTCCTCCCCCTGTAACATAAAACACAGCTGAGCCTCTCTCTGTCGCTATCTTATTCCCCGTAGATAAACCTGACATTGTCTAATTAATTCATGTACACAAGCAACACAATGTAACAACAATTAACAAACTTCTATCCATATTTATGAAGTTATTCTGTACTTTACTGCTGTTGTCACTAGTGTTTAAGTCAACTTAGTTCCTTCAAAACGTTTATCACCCATCCAAGCCTTTGCTCCCTCGTGTCACTCAAACTGCATCACCAAGGCAACCGAGCCCGTCTTCCTGTCTGTCCCAATCAGATATTGTCATTAGTAACAGCAGTGGGCCAACGGTGTTGTCTGTTCAAACTCCACTCAGCATAACAAGCATGCAGCATGTTCTTTTTCTCACCCTTTCTCACCCCTTTTAGTTCCCTAATTAATCTGTGAGTTGATTGCCTCTGATTTATAATGGTGACAACAGGATATGACTTGTTGTTCACCCAGTACCGGCTTCCTCCCTGCCCGTGTCTCATGATTAAGGTCTCTCCTCTATTCTTACCTCTTGCTTCCTCCTCTTCTGTTCTATACCCGAGAACACACACACACACACACACACACACCAACTGACTGACTGACTGACTGACTGACTGACAGCCCTCAGGTTGACTGCGGCTGACCCTACATTTAGAAATGAGGACAAAGGTGTGCAACGAAGCACCCAAAATAAATAGAATGTGACTGATAGCAGCGACCGTCACGCTCAATGCGCAGACGGTAAGGACGAGGGCTGGGGGAGGAAATGAGAGAGGAGCCCTCTCAGAGGGGAGCCAGATCCATCTGTTGTGATAGAGTTGTGCCACTGAAATCAGCAAGGCTTCGGTAATCAACGCCGTAACAACAGCTATTTAATGTCTGTATCCACCATTTGGAAGGGAAAGGTATGTTTAGAAGCGTTTGTAGCTGGTAAAAAGGGGCAAGTTAATGAGGTTTGTAATGTTCTCCATTCATGCCTCTTGCTCACCTTCATCAGACCAGCTGAGTGCTTGTCATGCCAGTTGCGTACATTGCCAACACAGATGAGAGGCCCTATCATTTTCATTTGAAATCAACTGTTTGCTTGCAACATTGGACCAATTTGTTCCACCGTACTGATCTTACCGTACTGCTGCTACTTTGTACAGAATCAATGTTTATGAGTCAGAGACAACTGACCGTTGATTCTAGACAATGTAACTATTTGATTATGTTATATATTCACTACTATCGATAAGGTCAATACAAACTCCTGACAGATATGTGTAAAAAGTTACAAAAATAATAAATGGGCTTGTGACTTTAAATACATAAAATTGTTTTAATTATTATAATTAGGTAACTTCATTCTGCTCATTTAGAAGCTAGAAGCAGGGAGATTACAAAAGAGTCTCCAAAGAGTCTGTGTTTGGAAATGTGGACTTTCTTCACCAACCACTAGTTTACAGTGACTTCAGGAGTCTTGGCGTAAAATCTGTAATTAGCCGTGTTACCTGTGTACAACTTGGACACCCGGATGATCGGAGTAAATCCCTAAAACAAGTGTATGATTTTTTTATTTGTACCCAGAATTTTTTTATATCTACATTTCCTGTACGGGGGTGCAAGATGTGCAGCAATAGATCTAAAGGAAAAGTCACACCTCAGTTCAGCCTCCTTGCTAGTCTGCTACTTTTGCGTTGACAGCCTCATACACAGCATCGCAGTTTTAGATTCAGTGAATAATTTAATGCTTCATCTTGAACGTTTCCCTTCCAGGATCCAAAATGAGAAGTCTTAGCGAGGGACTTTGGGGATTGTGGAAACATGTTGTTACTCTTGCTGCGTGGATACCCATCAGCAAAACACTTTTTTTTTTTCTTTTTTTTTTACATCCCACTCTGCAATTTTTGGATTCTTACACAAGCAATTTGATGAACACAGTTGTTTTCTCTCTCTGCTCCTTTCCTCAGATCGAGCAAAGCTATGAATCTCTGCTCAAAATGTTTCACAGGTAAGTTCTTGTTCTTCTGTGTGCTGGTTGGCACACCCTGTGTGCGCTATGTTCACCCATTCCTCCTTATTTCAATACTCAGTGCCAAAGATACGAGTAAACAACTATATCCATTTGAATATGATTTAAACAGAACTGTGTCAGTGTACCACAGTTTATAAATAGAATTGAATATCACCTGAGTTCTCCTTATGCCACTTTGTTTGGCCTACTGCCCGAGTTAACAACCACTGCATACCCCAAAGCTGACAGATGTATTCAAACATGTTTCTCATATGCACACAAATGTCTCACCATTTACCTTTTTTTTTTTTTTTTCTCCATAGACATTCAGAAGAAACAGCCAGACGATGATTGTGCCCCAAAGGCCTCCTCAAGCTCCAGCAGCAAGCAAGCAGACATCTTCTGTACTGAAACAAACGGCAGCATTGGTCAGTCACTGATGTCGATGCCTAACTCCTCAGAAGACCCTTTGCCAGGAGAGACGGGAGCGCCATCTCTACCTGCTCAGGACGGTAGGACACCAGCTAATCCTCTTTTTTTTAATTTCAGATGAGTCTACTATGTTCTTGCTGCCTTTTCCATGAATCTATAGAGCACTCCCACTCTGAAGTGTAGAACTCAAAGTCTATGTGTAGTGGTCGTATGCCTAATGTGCTGCAGATTTAGAAATGTGTTTTAATGCACAATCTCTCATTTTAGTGGTCAACACCAGAGTGTTGCAGCTCATAGTCCAGGGCATCTCTGCAGAAGACGGATACTAGTCTCCACCAGCAGCAGCTGCAGTGCCCCTGTCCTGGCTATATTTGTCCTCGTGGCACAGATAGAGAGAATGATAGCAAAGGGTATCCATTTAGAAGTGAAGGTTTTAAAAAGGACTCCTACAATTGCCAGTTCATCGGTCATTGCTATACAGTGACAAGGTTATTTGTAGAGGCCGATCCAGGACAGGGCAATAACATGGCCATCAAATAGATGTGCAGAACGTTGTGAAAACACGTCCCCACACTAACGCGGTCCTCTGCTTTTTAGTACAATACACGAGTACGTGATTATAGCTGATAAAAGAAGACAAGACCTTCATGGTAATAGAGTGCTGCAGGGACGACATATTTTTATTGGCCAACCCCCGGAAGTTGGCATCGCACTTGTTCCCTCGACAAAAAGCCGATGGGATGTTCTTTTCCACTGGTTTGTGGATTATTGCTGAAAATAAGTTAATGACACTTACGTGATTTGTTCAGCAAGATAATCTTCACAAATGAACATCTCTTTCATGATCTTTGAAGCGTAAATACAATCGGCAGAAGTAAAAAGCTAACATTGGAATGTAAATGTGCTACACCAGCACCACACAAGTACACACACACACACACACACCAGGGCTGTTAAAGCAGACTAGTCGGCTTGATGACAATTTGTCGCCTCATTTAGCCACTTGTAAGCGACACCTTTTTTTTTTTTGAAGTCACGCTAAAAGCTTCAGAAATCACGAGACGGGTATTTACCGATGTATTTTATATCACAGAACAAAAAGTTAAAGTCTCTTACGCTGGTGTTAACCACAGATCTATTCTCAGGCATCTAACCAGAAACCCATTGACTTCGGGACAAGGGAAGCAGAAGTGCAAACATTTTCACTTATTTCTGGGTTTCAGGACTCATTTCTGCAGCACTCTATTCACTCACTAGCTGACAAACCCGCACACTGTGGCCCCCTTCCTCCCAGATATCTATCACAGTCTTCTTCTGAAAGAAAACAAAAAAGCTCAAGGCATATTAAAGGATTTTTTAGAAATCTTGCTACCTCTTAGAAAACGGTACCACAGCATCCTCTGTTTTTAGATGATTTATTGTGGAATTATTTATCGCTCTGTTCTAAATCAATATCGCCTGAGGACATTTGATTTTGTTTTACACTTAAATGAGAGAAATTACAACAAAGTCTTACAAGAAACTAGTGTCCTTATGTCCTCTCTTTTCTTTCCTTTCTTTCTCATCTTCTCCCTTTTTCTCACTGTATCTCTTTCAGAAGTATCCAGCACAGACACAGTCTTCAGTTCACTCTCCACTCCCACAAAACGTTCCTTTGAATCAGGTATGCCTCCGCTCTGCCATTACAATGTCCATTGTTGTGTTTTGAACTGTGTGCTTGTCATGTCCGCTTAAGGTATTGGAATAGGGGATCTATTAGCATAAACGGCAATGGATTGATCCAAAATAGCCAGGTTAATTGTGCATCCAGTGGAAACAGCAGAGGGGAGGATGTTGGGGATGCAATGTATCTGCAAACGGGTGCAAATATAAAGCGCTTAATAGACTATATATATATATATATTTATATATACTGTGTGTGTGTGTGTGTGTGTGTGTGTGTGTGTGTGTGTGTGTGTGTATACATACATCTAAATATGGATGCACTTTTGTGCAACCTATAACACTCTTAAATCAGTTCAAATTCCTTTGCTTTTTATTTTTTAACAAATCGGTCAAACTTGAGCATTTTTTGACATTTCAGCCGCTGTAAATTGGCCACAGAGATTTGCCAGGATAACGAAAAAGGCTGGCACAACATGCACATGTACAGACACACATGCTGGAGCACATTTAGGGATCGATGGGGCCTGCTAGGGGGATCTGGCTGCTCAGCTTGGCCTAGTTCTCAGAGATTTATTGAGTGCTGATCAGCATTCGGCCGGGCCAGAGAAAAAGTCTGCAGGATTGATGAGAAAAAGCCGAGTTGAAATTCCAGCCGAACAGAGAAAGTGGCTACATGCTCTCCCGGTCTCAGGTGCTGGGTTGAATGCCGTCACATGCAGGAGAATCATTAGTCTCCAAAGCTCCTTTTTGTTTGACACAAAGAGGCGTTTTTGTTCCAGCGTTCCATCAACTGTTTGTATTAAATGAGATTTGTTTTGGAGCTTATTATTGGATATTTTCTCTTGAAATTCTAGTCAAAGCTGATGTTCTGGACACTCAGGAGATGAATGCTTTTTGGTATTATGTAGGGGGGTATTAAAAGGTGGAGAAGGTTTGGCTGTAGGTAGATTTGTAGATTTTATTCAAAACCATTTCTTGCAGATTGATTAACCTTCACATGCTTTGTATCCGGCAACTACAGAAAACAGAATACAATACAATAATGTATGTTGCCATTATTACCCTTTGTTGATCAGTAGAGTATAAACGGGGAGGATGGAGATGTCTAGTTGCATTGCATCGTCAACTTTTAGCCAAATGGAAAAAAGATATCCACTGTTGAGCAATCAAGGTTTCACTATTCATTTACATTTTGTTCCAAACTTCCAGATGTCCACTGCATTAACAGTATTTACAGAAACATCTGCTTTACATTCTGTTAATATTGTGACAAATACAAGAATGTTAAATATGAAAAATAATTCATGGAGCTCAGCGATTGCTATTAATAGCCTTTTTTTCTTCTTCTTCTTTTTTCTCCAGCCTCGGAGTCGGAAAGTGACGTTTCACCCGAGAAGAGAGCAAGAGTGGGTGACGTGCCAGAGGGTGAAGAGTCTTCATCGTCATCTTTGTCTGCATCATCATCATCATCATCATCATCATCATCCTCCTCCTCGTCCCGCAGTGGCTCTAAACAGCGGAGCCGCAAACGTTGCCATCGCTGCCAAACCAAACTGGAGCTGGTTCAGCAAGAGCTGGGTTCCTGTCGCTGTGGTACGATGATGCAACTTTACACACATAAACAATACGTTGGCTCGCATATTTGAACCCATGACCAGATGTACGCTAATACCTGTGCATGCACAGGCTCACTCACACACAAGAGCATCAGAAGACAGTATTAAGACCTTGTGTGTCTTGCATGTGCATGAGGGAGTAAATTACTTTTTCAGTGGTTGAATTGGTCATAGTTTTGAGAGTTTTACATAGAGTGCAGTGAAATGCATCACTCCCTGACCATGTGTTTTTGTGTTGACAAAAATGTCGATGATCAGAAGAGTGCCTCTGCTAGCCTTGGGGGACCATTACAGAAAGCCTGAATGCTTCACATTGCACATAAAACATAAGCCAATTACCACGAACACTAATGCAGTTTAAAGCAATACTTAGCTTGCTAATCAACTTGTTTGCATACAAATTAAAGTACTTAAAAAGTCACAGCTCTTCGCTGCTTAAAGACCATCTGCTTAAACCCACGCAACAATTTCTAAATTGGAAATTGACTTTCCTGTTTTTTTCCCCACCAGGCGCTGCTTAATGCTCGGGCCATCCATCCTTAATAGTCCAATGCTCACTATGAAAACATGCTTTTACAGACTGAAGGGGAAATGGTGGCAATTATGGTGATATCGGTCTATTGCTTTAATTGCAGATTACTTTGCTAATGCTTCTGCAAAATGTTTCACAGTGTAAGCCAAGAAGGTCTGATAATGAGTTGAAAGCACGGATGCTTTTCAGATAGTGAATGGGGGAAGAAAATAAAGCTCTGATGGAGTATCTGATCCAATGTCGTCACACTCGGTAGACTTTTGCTGTTCCGCAGTGGCTATAATATTCATCTGACTAGGTCTTAGTATGAAACGGAACTTAAAAAGCTAATTAGATCGTCAGGTTCTCATCTGAGATCCAACAGAAGCAGGACCCTTAATCCTGACTGGTGCTGTCCCTTGTCTTTCTCTTTGCAAAGCAATGGTCCGAAAATGAGAGAAACACCGTTTCCATAACCAGTAACCGTTGATAACGACTCCAGTATGTGAAGATAAGCGGTGGTGTTCTCAATTTACTGTAGTTTAAGTCAGAAATCATTCAGTTATATCAGACAATGGCTGCAATCAATTTGGCCTTCCCAGCATGCTGCACGTTGTGCAACAGCAGGAATGGTAAAAACAGTTATATATTATAATAGCATAATTTGCCTTTTAATTCATGTCTTAACTATAATAAGTGGTTATGTTTAAAGGATTTGTGCAGTGTGTGTGTGTGTGTGTGTTTCAGCAACTCTCATGAAATTGCTTTTTTTCCCATTTCCACCAGAGGTAGAATAAATATTTAAGACAGCTTGGATTATATGCAATAAAAACTTTGAAAAGCTAAATTTCCTCGCAGCTCATTGATGTTTTAAAACTCGATCCACTGTTCAGTTGCAAAAACACCTGCAGTGAGCTTGGTGGAAACTTTTGGGGGTTTCTGATAAGGGAATCGTCTCTCTGACTTAGAAAATAGTGTAGTAAAAAAAAGTCCTACATAGCTTGCTTATCAGTCGGTGCAGTTAAATTTGGTACAAAGGGTGTAGCGGAAATCCGTTGTTTTCTGGCACCTGAAAATGAATGCTTGAGGCATCGTTTGTACTTGTTTTGCATTTTAAAATAGAGAGATATGTAAATGCTTTTGTTCATAGTATTTGTTGTGCACGTGCCTTCCATTGGTCCTCTACTGTGTCATCAAGGCATTTTTCTTGCATTAAAGCAACTGGAAGTAGTTTTGATTCCCGCCGTTACCCCCAGTGTCGAGCAGCCCATCCCCCTTTGTTTTTGTTTTTTTTAAAGCCTCAAAATGTTACACAACTTCCTCCCTTCCACTCCATTCACATGCGCTGTAATCGCATAGATTTTAATTGCATAGCAACCAGCTGTCAAACTGTGTTTTTAATCACCACTCACTGAATGCCAGCAGTGTTATTATGTGTATTAATGAATGAATTCAAGACGACGAGAGCTAACGAGCTTCTCTGAGCTTAACGAGCCTCCTACAGTGGCAGCAGGGCCTTTTGTTGAGCGTGCTACAGTAGAGCCGGAGAGTCAATGAGACAGATGAGGGTGTTGAATGGAGTCAAAAGAGGAAGCTATTAACCAGAATGTCTTCTCTGGTAACCAGACCTTCTTACAAAGGCATGGTTGCAGCGCCGTAAATATTATCTGTCCATAGCCATTTAGAAAGCCTTGTATAATAGAGATGTGTTTGCCAGCCTGTACTGCTTTTTTTTTACCTTTTGTATAATTTGTAGGGGTTTAAAACATTTCCAAATAATTTGGCTGTATGCATGTTTAATGCAGTGTTTAAACATCGTACTATTCTGCGTTCTGTGTCCTGTTTCTTTATTCAGGTTGTTCTAAGTTGAAGTACATCCGCAGTGATATTTGTATATTTGCTGAAATTGGCAAACTCTAACCCCTCTCTCCCTCTTGTACACCCATACCCCCCTCACCCTCCCTCCAGGTTATGTCTTCTGTATGCTCCATCGGCTTCCCGAGCAGCACGAGTGTCTGTTTGACCACCTGGGCCGTGGTCGCCAGGAGGCGGTCCTGAAGATGGTCAAGCTCGACCGCAAGGTGGGCCGCTCGTGCCAGCGCATCGGAGAAGAGTGCTCCTGAGCGGCTGCTCCCTGAGAAGAATCTCAGTGTTCAGACGGTGTCTTAGCACCGACAGGGATTTGACTTTTTTTTAAATTTTGTTTTCTTCTCATTTTGTTTTTCAAGATTTTTGCAGGTTTTTTGGATACAAACCTCCACCCTTTCTTTTAAGTTATGCTTGCTCTTTTTAAACCCCGCTGTTACCCCGTATCCCCGTTGTTTTCTGCTTCTGTTGGCTTGATCACATCCCTGCTGCTAAGATGCCTTTTGGAAAAATCGCAACCCATGAATGACAGAACAATAAAGAGCAAAGGAATTATACAATTTCTTAACTTTTTTTTTTTATTTTTATTTTTTTTTTTTTGCAAGCTCCTGACTACACAAGTGTGAGCAAAGTAAGATGACGAGAAGAAAATGCAATGCTGTATACAAATGTTTGTCCCGGAAGCCAGCTTAAGACTATACTCTTTACCTCAAAAAAACGAAAAGAAAACAAAGATTGACAAGGAGGAGCAGGAGAAAAGGATGGATACCCTTTGTGTACACTTCTGCTGTGGCGCTGTTTATAGACTGTGCTCTTTACCTCAAAATCAGACAGAGCTGCTTTGTACTCTGCGCCAAGCATGGACTTTGTGAAGCAAACCAAGCAAGCCAGCCTCAGTTTAAGTCAGTGTCTTACCCCCCCTGGCCGTCCACTACCCCATTAGAAACATCTGTTAATCATCCACCTCAGGATATCAAAGCCCAACCTTCACCCACTTGCATCCTTCTCCTTTTCTCTACAAGGACACCTGTTTACTCCTTTGTTTGTTTTAAGATGATTCAGAAGGTGTTTCTGCTCTGTTACACTGGGCTGATATTGTAATTCCAGATTCAGAACTTGCAGTGTGAGCCGGATTCAGACACGTGGAAGTGAGCCGGTTGTCCTTCGATTGCACACTGATCCGTCATCAACGTTGGGATGTGATTGATCGAGACTTAATGTGTGGCAGATTTTCTCTGTCGTCCTCTTTTCGTCTCAGTCTTCATCTCCCTATTGCCGCACGAAGACATGTCGTTCTCCACACGTCTGTTTTTAACAACATGTGGATTACGTGTGCTGGATGTGTACCGACTTCAGGACGACAGCATTAACCGGACGGGACGTTTATGGAACTGTGCGCACGATTTAGGACTGATCCTGAAATGTGTGCTTTGTGTACGTCCACACGTCTCTACACTTTTACAAATACGCACTCTCTCTCTCTCTCTCTCACACCTTTGTTGTTTTATGTGCTCGGCTGTTGTTCACATTGAGCACAAGCAGGTCAGATCAGACATTGCTGTTGAGTTTGGACTGAAGCTGAGAAGGCAGAGCGCCACTCAGAGGTTCCTGTTCAAGATGGTGTGATGGTTGTTATAGTTCAGGTTTCGCATACTGTCTTAGGCCTTCATTTCAATTATCCACATTTAAAGGTAATTTGATACGGAACTATTCTTTGGTTGTCAGTACTTTCATTTCCCTCCTTCCTTTTAGGCCCCGTGTTTTCATTTCCAGCTTAGCACCATGTGAGCTCACAAGCATTCTCCTCCTGCCTTTCACTTTTCTCATCTCACCTTTCACCTTATTGGTTGCTCTACTTTTTCCGTATGTCACCCTCTCTGTCTCCCCCTCCCTCTTTCTTGCTGTGGAGGAGGGAGGGGGCGGCCAGGGGGTGAGCAGTGCGCTGAAAGTTAAAATCAGCAAATAATTACTTTCCAAACGTTTTCCTGCTGCACTATGGAAGGAATGAACAGAAGATGCATAATGAATGAATATTCTGTATCTTAAAGAAACCCTTATTTAACCCCTTTTTGCTTTTCACTCACACTTTAGTGTAGAACTGCTTTTCTTTTTGGTTGTAATGTGGTTATAAAATGGGAAGATGAACGTGGACAATTCTATATTTTTTGTTTCCATTGTTTTTACTTTATCCTTCCCCCTTTCCAACTTTTTCTTTTACTGAGAAAGAATAAACTGGATTAGACAAAGCGTGAACATCTTTAGTGTGCTTATTGACATGATGGATGGAAAGATGAAGGACAAGAGCCGATGCTGCAGTCGCTCTCTGCAAGAGGAAATCTAAGAGTGGGATGAGCATACATACACAATTTTCTGCATTTGTAATGGAGGTGAGTTCTTCTTGCACCATGTCTTATCATCCTGCCAGTTCATTTTAAAGTGATGTAAACTGTTTAATGCTCACAGAGGGTTGTTTATAAACCTACTCTCATTTACTCACAAATCTGTTTGTGTGATTGTGCTCGCTATAATGGAGAATTTTGACTGGAGAAGCTTCTGATGGCAGCAATGAGCCTTGTGGGCCGGCTGCACTAATTAACACATGTAGCCACGATCAAAAAGCATCTTCAAACGTTGAAGCTGGCCCGTCGTCAGCCTGAGCGTAATCTCTCACCCTCCTCCTCGCCTGAACTCTGCCAAAACTAAGGAAGTTAGCGTCTAAATGTGAAGTTTCTCCTTTGTTAAGGTGGTTGACGCTTTGAACAACCCTGCTGGGTTACAGACAGCATTTAAATCTCTTAAACCCCGTCCTGTGTGTCCTTATGTAACTCTCCTTTTACATCCGTGTCAATTCTTCCGTCAAAGTTTCTCAGGCTTGGTGGGGTTTTTTGTTTTTTTTTAGTCCAGCAGCAGGGACATTTACAAGTTTGCATTTAAGTGCCGAAGTGTCCTTTGCTCAGGGACACTTTGGCCAAGGATCGAACCGCCAACCTTGCATTTTTTTACTTCAAATATATAATTTCTATATGATCAATTTGGGGCTCCCTCTATGCTCCTCGTTGTACAAAAGCATGCCATATGTTGCCATACAGAACTTCTCTAAATGCTGATATTTTTCTTTTCTGACCCGACTCCAAATTATTTCTGATGAAGAGTAGTGATGGACCTGTTTTTCCTTCTTTTGAATTTGGCTGGAATACACTGTGGTTTTCTTCTAATCTTAAGCCCCCCCCTCTGGCTTTCTTGAGCCCTCTCTTTGTTTTGGTTGTCAGTGTCTGCACTCTCTTATGTTTTATGTTGTCTTGACTATAGCCTGACACACAGGATGAAGCTCAGTGCCAGTATTGGGTTGGAACGAGAAGCGTGTTTGCTGGAGGCTGCCTAGCTTTCGAGGGGGATTTGGGGGATAAGATGATGTGGCCAGTGGTAAGTAATCTCCTTACAGCTCGACAAACGACGCCTGCTCGTCTTACCGCCTTGATTGGCTAACATTAGTTTTATACACCATCCTTGTATTGGATTTTGCTTTTTTTACACACTTAAGACTCTTTTGCTACTCTATCTGTGCCTTCATGTCTGCACTGTTGAAACCAGTATTTTGTGCTGAACAAGTGAGTGAACGCTAGAATCCTACATCAGTGGGAGAATGATCTCAGATATACAGTAAACGCAATGGAAGGTTAACGATGTCCGAAGTAATCACAGGATCAGTTTCACTGGCTCATGCATCATAGTCTTATTTCCAGACAGCGCTGATCTTACTCAGTCTGATGGTAAAGTCGCTTATTAGTCTTCATACATTTGTTGAGCACTGCGTGTAATTGCATGTCTGCAATTACATTCATTATATCCACTTTGACTGGCATGATGTTCCTTCCTCATCTATTAAGCAAATAAATGACACCAACAACAGACATCAGATCTTCATAACAGAGCTTATTGAGTAAAAAAAGATTTCATAATACTATTCTTCAAATGTGTCATAATAAGAATCTAGCCATGAACATAGCAGGACACCATAGGAGTAAAAGGCTTAAATAATTCAGGAGATACAGTTACAAAGTAGCTGCAGAGAAAATTAGTCATGGGATTATAGGACAACATAAAGGTCTTCATTCCTGCTTAAATGACACCAAAGGCAACACATTTCTCTTTCCTCTATTTGGTGTTGAGATGCAGTCGGCAGCTGTTTTTAGCTCTGATGCTGTAAACACACGGTCCACTACCTGCCCAGCACCAAACGGCAGACGGACACAGTTAGAGACTAGCTGGTGAACATAGTAGAGCATTTAGCAGCATGTGTGCCGACAATTTCCCTTAGGAGCTAAAAGAGAGTGAATATTAGACTTACATTCATTAAGTATGCAGAATCGCGACTCCAAATTAATGATAATGGTCCTCCGTATGGGTTGGATGTGTAATTCACCATTATTTGCTATAACAAGTTTACCATAAAGGTGTTCACAGCTTCTCGCTGTTGCCCCGAGTGCTTCACACACATTAGACTGTGGCAACGTTCTGAAAGTGCCATGTAAAGAAAACTAAAGTATTCTAACTATATCATTAATAATCACTTTGAAATGCATTCATCGCCATGCATTCCTGCAGATGTTATCTAAGATGCCTACCTACTGTTAGCATGCATTATGAGTTCAGTTGCCTTCTTTAACATTCTTTGAGTGTGACTCTATATCCAGAGACACATACGGCATAATCCCTTCCCAAAACCATAGCTAATGACTCCCGCACCGTTCATTACCATCTTTAACCACCACAAACTGACAGTGTGCTGCAGGAGCCTCAAACAGGCATGCTGCTGACATTTGGTCAGGTTGAAGAGGAAATTAACAGCGGCGTGGAAGACCCAATCCCAGTGTAGCCATTACTGTCGGTCGGACATTGTTTTTTCATGTGACCTTTAAGGAGGAAGCTGACTGCACACTTCTCTTCAATTTTAGGATGACTTTAACAGAGTGAGCTAAACCAGTGGAAAGGGTGAGACTATAATGAAGAAATGCTGATGAACTGGGAGTTGTGTATTACAGCGAGAGAGGCCTCTATAGGATGCAAGGAGAGAAGGCGAGAGCTTTCAAATTGCCAAAGGATGAGCTCAGTTTCACAAAGCTTTGTTGATCTTAAGGGTTAACGGATGTGTGTGTAATTTTCTGCCTTGATTTTATGTCCATTTTGCAAATAAACTGTTCAGTATAGTGAGAGAGGGAGAGGCGTGTTATATCATCAGCCTGTATTTACCTGATTAATGACCTGCTTCACACCTTATAGTTTAAGGAAACCGAAGGCTAAACAATCCCCACAGTCAATAACATTTAAAACAACTCTGCTAGAATAATCTAATTCAACCTTTACTAAAAAGGGTTCAAGGCTTTGCAGAAAAACTCTGTCCTGGTTGCAGATATCTTGA